ACTAATACTATACACTCAACAGATGAACCACCATTATTATCATATCCATATGTTGAGAAACCTTTAAATAATTTTAAAAACCAAATGATAATTGAAATAACAGAATCTTCCCCAGTACCTCATTGTATTGAAGTAAATATCTTTGACAATAAAAGATATATCATAAACTTACGAAAACGACATATTGAGGAAGATTTAGAAGAATTTAGGGCACACCTAAATCAAAAGTTGACATATCATTTATATTTCCCTAAAAAAAAAGATGAACTATTTTTCCTGAAAAATATACAACAAAAAATTGAAAGAATCGATTCACGATTACTAATTTGTTCAACAAAAGTGACGGATGTCAGAATGCCATCAGAACAACAAGACAAAATAAATTATCATCGTATATATAAAACTGGTCATCGAGGAATTAAGACTACTATTGATTCATTAAAAAGAAACTATTATTGGCTCTCTATGCTGAAAGACGTTACAAATTATATTAATAATTGTACCACATGTCAAAGAGCCAGATATGAAAGAAAACCCAATGAGTTTGTATATCAAGCGATACCAATAGGATCAAAACCCTTTGAAAAAATTTATCTGGGTACACTCTCTATCGCCAAAGAAAAATTTCTAACGATTGTTGATCCACTTTCTAAATTTGCACAAGCTTATCGAATTCCTGGAATTAATGCTATAAACGTATTAGATGGACTATTGACGTTTATCTCATTATGGACTACCACAGATTACCGTTTGTGATAATGGGGTAGAATTTAATAATAACATTTTTACAGATTTTTGTAAATTACATAAGATTGAAATACATTATACGACTCCTAAAAATCCAAATTCAAACAGCTATGTTGAAAGATTTCATTCAACTCTATTGGAACACATAAGAATTAAAACGCAGCAAAATCCACAAGAATCATTGGAAAATTAATTAAATATTCTTTATTACATTAAAATAATTCAATTCATTCCGCAACGGAATATACACCATTTGAGGTAGTTTCTGGTCATTTTAATCAAAAAGATCCTTATGACATATAAGAAAAAAATATTGTTTCCAAATATGTAGAAACTCATAAAGAACGATTAAAAGACAGATATAAAACTATAAATCAAAATATAAAGGAAAAGAAGGAACAACAATTAGAAAAGATTAATTCAAAGCGCAAAGAACCAATAATGATATCTAAAACCGATAATGTATATCATAAGGAATTACCAAGAGACAAATTACCTCCAAAATACACCAAAGTTGAGCCAATTGCTCAAACAACAAACAAAATAAAAACAGAAACGTCCAAATATTCTAAACATATTATTAAAAAACGTAAAAAAGAGTAATGTTTTTTTTTTGTACTGATACTCTCATTCCTTTTTGTTACTAACGCCTCAATTCAAAAACTTAATAATCCTATTTTGCCATTAATTCTTAAACCAACAAAAATTATTTCAAGTAAACACACTTTTGTTACTTATATGAATTTAACAAAACTCACGGAAATTAGAAACAATTTAGAAGAACAACTTAAATTAATAACATTAAAAAAGTCAATGAGAACTGAAACAAATAGCTTAATTACACAAGCATATACATTGTTGTCATATATTGATCATTCTTTATCAATTATTTTTCCTCATAATAAATCGAAACGTGGTTTAATTAATTCAGGAGGAAAAGTATCTAAATAGTTATTTGGTACCCTAGACGCAGAAGATGGCAAAAGAATTACTCTCATACTGAATCATTTGAATAAAAATGATCATTTATTGCAAGAAAAAGTTAATGAACAAATATCTTTAGCCAAAGAGATTATAACTAAAACAAACAATAGCATTTCTCAAATCAAATCAAATATATTGATGATTCAAAAGCAAATTCAGGTGGTTGCAGATAAGATCAATGATGTGAATGCTCTGGATTTAATTACAAATTCTCTTTCAATTTTTGAAATGCATTTAAATCAAATTTGCAATGCTTTAACATTTGCACATTTTAATAGAATACACCCTACTTTTCTTTCTTTAGAAAACTTACATTCCATAATGGAAAAGATAAAAAGTCTATATCCCACAAATCAAATTGTTCAATTTAAATCACATCATAGTTATTACTCTTTTTTGGGAATTCAAGTCATAAACAAAATAAATTGATATTTTTAATACATTTTCCTTTAATAATGGGTGATGAGTTCAAAACTTACTTTATTTATCCAGTTCCAATTCAAAATGAAATAATTTTCCCTCCAAAACCCTATTTAATCCTTAATGAGAGAAATAAGTATTTCCAATATCAATCAGAACTATGCGAGGAGGTTGAAGATGTCTACTAATGTAACAATCATCTACAAACTGAAGAAGAATGTATAATCCAAATAATCAAAAACAATGAAGCTGAGAACTGTACAAGTATTCCAGTCCATATAAGCAAACCTATTGTCAATCAAGTTGCCCCAAAAAGCATCGTTCTTACCACTCCCAAAAACATGGTAATGATCGAAAATTGTTCAACAGAAAAACATCATGAAATAAACCCAGGAAGCTACCTGATAACAATTGATAAAAATTGTCAGTTCAGAATTAATCAAGAAATATTTATATCTGAAGAAAAGCACATAGAGCCAGCCAGAATAATTCAACTACTACAACTGAATCTGGCATCACCAAAAAAAAAGGAAAAGTAAACCTTGTTAACCTAGACCTAGAAGAAATTAAACAGTTAACTTCAAAAGTCAATTCCCCGCATGAAGTTAAACATGAAGAGGAACCATCCGAAGACACTTCAATGTCAATATGGTTACCGGTATTGTTTTGTCTTATAGTATCAATGCTTGTCTTTCTAGGGATAAAATACTATTACAAATATTGCTACCACTATCCACTTCCAATACTCCAAAAAAGTAAAAGAAGCAATACCAACAGAGAAGAAATGGAACTTCAAGCAGGTGAAGGTTCAGCCTAGCCATCCATTCCACCCCTAGGCTTCATCTAAGGCGGGAAGAGTAATGTATGACAAGCAGTTATGTTAGAAGATCCCACACTTGCTTCCAGACTAATGTTATATGTCATTGTGTCCCGGACTATGAGGGTAACATGATACATTTGTTTATTATTTAGTATAGAGTTACAAGATAAATCTCGATAAATGCTGATTCTAACTTTTGTCCAAACCTTATCCTGTTTACTTGAAACTTAATTCTTTACTATTTTTTTAACATTATATTTAGTTCGTATTTTATCTCTTAAATGTGCTTAAGTAGAATTAATACCATAAATTATCTTTTCTAGAATATTTTGTTTACTTAATTTAGGATATAAAAACCAATCATGCTGTAATGTCAGTTTAGTTTACTACCAGCTATTGCTTAATAAAAAATTAAACATTACGAGTAGTTGCTCATTTAACTATATTCCGAATACTTACGGAGACATCCGGAAAAAACCGAAATTTTACAAAATTGTTTTTATTTGAAGTGATATTTGAAAAAAAAAATATCACTTCATCATAGCCACTTTTTCTCCCCTACAAGATGCTACCATCTAATTTAAAATCTGACGTTTCGTCTTTGAGCCACCATCATCAACTTATTTTTTTTAAATACGACCCTGGATTTTTTATTTCAGATTTTAGGAGCTTCTGATGTCCCAAATCCTATGACGTATCGCATTTATTCGAAAAAATATTTTTTTTATTTTTTAGTAATTTCCTACCAAAATTATTTTCTCTGTCCTCTCTAACACATTAGGTTCTTATGGAAAGTGCCAATAATATAAATTTTTTGAACAAGTGCAAAAGGTCATTGGTTTTGGGACATCAAAAGCTAATAAAATCTAAAATGAAAAATAAGGGTCCGTATTTAAGAAAATGAAGTTGATGATGGTGGCCCAAAGACGAAACGTCAGATTTCAAATTTGATGCTAGCATCTTGTAGGGGAAAAAAGTGGCTATGATGAAGTGACATTTTCTCTTAAATATTTTTCCAAATAAAGTCGAGAAAAAATTAAAACAATTTTGCAAAATTTAGGTTTTTTCCGGAAGTATTCGGAATATCCTAAATATCAAAGCGGCATTCTGTTAAGCATCAAATTACGCAACTTTGCCCTAATTTAACCAACCCTGTATCTCTCACCCTTTTCGAGATCCCAATGATGTGGCTCGAATTTGAAACACCCTGTACAGTAGATTCATCATTTCCAAGTTTACGTTTTCGTGTTTTCGAATCAATTATTTTCCCAATTGTGGAAATTGGGTATGAGTCCTCATAACAACAGTGAATGTTTCTATGTCTGTCAAACTTATGCTGAAATACCCAAACATTTGATAAGAGACAATGCAAATTTTATTATTATATTTAAGCAAGATGATTTAAATTTGAAACATGTATATACTGATCACGTGTATTCGCTCGTACTGCTGGAGAAAACAATATGACTTTCTATTAATTTTTAAAGATAGTAATATTGAAAATGTAAGATATCATAATGGATTTGACAATTACATATATCTATAGATGCATGAGAATGTTTTTTGAAAGTGATAAAGTTTTAAAAAAAAATTGATTTCGAAAAAAAAAATTATACGAGAAAAATTAAATTTGTTGAAACAAGGACGAATAGTACAAGAAAATCTTTCTCAACCCATCACTAAACACTTGGCGAATATTGAAACTCGATTAGATAAACATCAAAATCTGAAACCATAACGAGAAAAGACAACCTCAGAAATACCGAAAACGAAAAAATTGAAAAAGGAACAGGATCGAGAAGATAAAACGATTATGAAGAAGAAGATGAGGTATTTAAAAAAGTAAATTTAGACTTGTATCAGCCTACACCACAATCTTCCTCGTCGGTTGCTGATACCACCCCACATATTGGTAGACCAACAAAAATCAAACGGAAATTACCTTTCACACAAATTAGTGATAAAAAAACAAAAAAATCAGATCAACCACAACATAGTTATAATTTGAGAAAATTACTGCTCAGGGACAATGTTGAAAAATATGCTACAGATGAAGAGCAAGCTAGAAAACAAAATATATTTCAATGAATCTCGTCAAAATGAATTTATAAGTCAGTCACAAACTGAATATTTGAATCAATTTGATCCATTACCTGCAAAATATATACAAGAATTTATAAATGACCGTGCTACTGATCCAACGTTAGAGGGAAATGTTTTACATAAATTTCGTATAAGACGTGATGAAATTGATAATTTCTACATTGGTGATTCCAAAGTCGAAATTGTTGGATCTGATCAATTAGTAAAGAGGAGAACATACAAAGGAACCCCAGGATTGTATAAGTTACTCTTCAGGAAAAATATACCTAAAAGTTATACGAAGGACGATGAAGCTGCTTTCAAGGACATTATCTCAAGAACCAATATAAATAGAATTTTTTCTTCTTGTGTTTCAAAATTGGTCTATTTTTTTTATGTAAGGTTGTGAATCAATCTTACGTAAGTGACGCCTACATCTATCAATACAATTATCATTATTATTATTTTTGTATAATTTCAGCGTGCCAATTTAATGAAAAGTTAGGAGTCCGCGTTTACAGACTATGCTAGATTTAAATATCCAACTGTTTCCAATATTAGACGCTGCATACTATTCCAAATCAAAATAAACCAACTTGACACAACATATGTGATATAAAACTTTCGAGATTGTTTATTTATAATTTTTTTCAATTCCTTTTTCTTCTTTTCTAGCCACGCATTAGCTGTGACATACCAAACAAGAGGAAGTTTGAAGAAATGAAAAAATTCATATTTACCTATCGTACAGACAAATGCTTCAATAATTATCAAAGTCAACCATGGGATGAGGAGGGCTATATGAAAATGGAAGAAGACATGGATAAAGCTGAAAACTATGATGCAGCTACAAGGAAATATTGGGGCCGGATTCAAGCTAAAACAATACAATACTACTCACTTCAATCAATACAATAATGTTCAGAATATCGATAACAGATTTAGAAACTACTCTAGTGTTGTTGTCTGTACAAGGTGGTGTCAAAGCTGCAAAATGTATTTCTGTTTCTGTAAAAAGTCAATAGGTCATCATACAATCACGTCAGTATCATTGTCATCCCCTTTGTCACCTCCAAATCTGTATTGCAACGAGAAAATGCCTAATTCATAAATGTAATTTGAGTTTAATGAATTTGTTAATTTTCCGCAGTGTGTCTGACTTCATAAAATAACAATTACTAAATTAGGCTACGCTAGGCTAGGCTATAAGAATCTAAACAAAATTTAGCAATATGCACAACATTAGGTTAGGTCAGCCTATAGGTACCTATTCAATTCAAAGTAATTTTTTCCATTTCAAATTTTATCCGTACAAGTCTCATCATCGTAACAAATGATATTTATATTGAAGGTCTATGGTGGTCTAGTGGTTAACGCTCTTGGTTCTTGAGCCAAATTTTAGGTGACACTGAAAGGTGAAAAAAAAGACAGGTTGAAAAAATTTACATTTAAAATAAGCTACCGGTTATTAATTCTCTGGCACAGGTGAGGGGAGGACAGGTGAGGGTGACATCTAGTGCCCCAGGACCCTAAGGGCAGTTTCCAAGGGGGTAGCGTCCAAATATCAATCGTCCTATACTACTGCAATGCCAGAAGTTCGCTTTTGCTATCATTTCACAATATAAATACCTACATTGTAAATATGCATAAAAGGCATTAAGGCCGTTTCTGAGACATTTTTTGTGGGGGTGTTTTTTTTTGGGCCTCCCAGACCAGGAAACACAAAAAAAAGTAAGGATACGTACTAAAAATACGAAAAGATGGAACAGGAAGATAAGGAATGAAAATATATTGATGTTCTGTGCCACCATATAATGAATTGGTGAAGTAGACCTAAACTTTTGATATGTTGAGGGTATAGCATGGAATAGAAAACAGAAAAAAACCCTAAGTTTGCATGATTGGAGTTTTGTAAGAATTTATTGGAAATCAATAATTAAACAATGTCACAAATATTACGGGCTAGTACCTCATGAAGTCCACTTTCGCAACGAAATACCGAACCTCCCAAAAAAAGAGCTAACCTCGGTGATGACATCCCCAAGGCACCTCAGCGAAAGTCTAGAACGTTTTGCACCTACGTCACAGGAGATGGAAGATTCGAGTACTTGGAGAATTTAGAGAAACACGTAAAATGGTATATTGGTCAAGAAGAAGGAGTTGAACACCTTCAATTGATGTTCGGTTTCCAAAATCCCAGAGCATCAAGCGGAGTTATAAGCTTATTGCAAGATGCACATGTCGCAAGAAGTTAATGATACTGAAGCTATGATGAAATATTGTACTAATGAAGAGAAACAGTCTGGGGAATTACTAACTTTTGGAAGTGTGCCGCAATTTAATAAAAAGGTAAACAAAACTATAATTGATGAGGCTTTAGTAAAGAGCAACTATGAAGATGCTATGCTTCATATAGAAAACACAGATAAATTATTCTATATTCAGAATCAAAAGAAATTGTGCTTATATTTCTTTCAGAAATTCGACTCTTCTGATAAATCTTTATTCAAGCCTATGGATTTTAATCGAAAATTAGAGACTGATTTTAGGAAAACAATTGTTTTAATCGGTGGAACGAGATTAGGAAAAACTCAATATGCACTAGCACATTTTCAATGACCACTACATATTAGAGATAGGGAAGATTGGAGACGTTATTCACCAGAAACTGATGGAATTATTTTAGACGACCTAGGTTTGCCTCAATGGAGTGCTTTAACATTTTTAAAGTTAGCTGATATTGAGAATCGGATCTGTACGAATTAAACCAGGAACATCAAGAATTATTTGTGTAAATCACGACCAATTGTTGTGGCCTAAAAATATTCACGATGAAACAAAAAGTGCTTGTCTTCGAACAATGAAGATTATACATGTAAGAGGACCGCTGTTTAAAACGACTGAAAATAAAGAAAATAATGCCGAAAATAATGAAGCAGTTGAAAACAGCATTGAAAACAGCAAAGCAACCAATTCAACCAAGTAAATGAAACACTTGAATTATGTAAATATGTGTTTATTAAACAACTTTAATAGCAGTTTTTGTAAAAATGGTTCGGCTAAAATATAACAAGAAGATTCCATGAGGATGTGTCTTACATAAGTTAACTGGAAACTTATATCAATATATCAACAGTTGAGTGAGTCCTTTATTGAATAATTTAAAACTGCGGTCAATTGGCCGTCCATATCAAAATGTCAAAGTTTATCTAAAGACTTTATTCGAAACCACGTGAATCTCGTCAACTGGCACAATAAATCCACTACCAGGCTGTAACATCGAAATTTCTTTATGAAATGCGGTCCCACGTTGAAGTCAAACAAGATGCCAGTACCGATCAAGCATCAATGTCCTCGGATGTACCCAATCGACCGTGTATTTCCTGCAGCTGGGACTTGGAATTTTCGAAATTCACGGGATACCATGCAAATTTTTTGAAGAACCCTGGAAGTAAAACCTAATTTATGTGGTACTATTTTTAATAAATCGATTATTATCAACGTGTTTATTTTGTGTTTTATTATAATTTTCTTATCTATATCATAAAAAAAGAAAATAAGAAAAACATTTATTGTATCAAGAGTAGCAAATAGAAAAATGGTCAATCATTTTGAAATCTTATATGAAATGTATTCACAATTCCAAAAATCCAACTATTATCGTGAGCAAAGTGAACCATGCTTCTATCCTATAAATTTCAAACAAGATGCTCTTCTGGTACATTGATTGCTCTCGGCAAGATGAAGACATCCTAGAAGGTGATGCTGTTGATATTCGCGTAGAATTTGAAACAAAAAAAGCGGTTCAAGCAAACACACAGCTTACTGTTTGATGCTCCACGATAGACTTGTGAAATACAATCGACTGACCAGTACAGTACGTGTAATTTGAGAATGTTCATCTTGGACGTTCAAGGATTTCAATACAAAGATAGTGATTTTATTTGTAAGGAAATTGCTATTTTCAATCAGACGACCGGACAAATTTTTCAACTTATCACTTTACCTACAAATTCCAATTGGTTAGGAGAAGATCTTATACGACAAGTACATTGTAACACCCCTAACTTATATGGTTTCGGATGAAATAGGTTTGACTTTAGTTTTTCACTATTTGAAAATATAACAAGTTTTATAATGGAAATTGTTAAAAGTGAAACTGTCTTTGTGGAGGGTTATAATAAAAAAGAATGGTTAAGTTATTTAATAAATAATAATGTTGTCGATATCGATAGCTTGAGATGTCCAAGTTTCAAAAAGGTAAGAACTGTATCAAATAATTTCCATTGTAGAACCCGGTTGTTTAATAACTCAATTTGTGCCAAAGAGAGTAAAATTTTAGTAAATAATTAATTGTTTTTTAAATAAAAAAACTTAATCTATTTAGATTTTTGTATTATTTGTACATAACTTACAGAGAAAATGGGTTGAGAAAGTTCACCACCATTTTGAGAGTTTTATGGTTTTTTAACTTCTACCTCAGTTGCGAAAATATGGCGTTACAAATATAATTATTGATAATCAGTGCTACAAAATAACTTCATTATCGAAAACTCTCCTGAAATTTTGTCATCGTAGTAAAGACCTAAGTAACCTAAAAAAATATGTATGTGTATGATAATTACTGATATAAAATTTATTCAAAAAGAAGCCCGCCGTCTCGGTAATTCATTCCACAAAGTACCAGTATGAGCAGCAGCAGCAGCAACCAAAGTACAACAATCACGAGACAACAAGTACTGGACAATTTTTCCTCTGAAGCTGTGCAAAAATTTGAGCTAGTGAGTAGATCACTTTAAACGAAAGATTATAAACTTCATAGTCGCTTAAGAAAGCCATAAAAAATAAAACGTGTATACGTAGTTTCAATAGAGTAGAATCATTGATCAAGATCAATGTTTTAATCCAGAAAATAGAGTCTTTCATTTTCCGTGTATAAAAAATTTAAGTCGTTGATTGTGTAAACAAGTTGGCAACTATCGACATTAAAAATGGTTTTGCGAGTGGTCTCAATCATTTCCCTAGTGATAGAGTATTAAAAAGTCATTCGCGAGATTGTAAAACACTGAACAAGACCTAAGGAAACTAAATTTTTTTTAAAGTTCAAAATTTTCCAAATAAATTGTCTGCACCATTCATGGTTTACGCTGATTAAGAAAGTATGCTTGTTGAATATGTAGATAAAAATGGAGCAAAAAAATCAAGGAAGTATCAAAAACCTGAAGCATTTAGTATAGCATACTATCAAAAATACACATATTATGATGATTCGCTCTCAGAATTTGAAATGAAAACAGGTGAAAAGTGTTAAGAATGGCTTTTTAGGGAGCTTGAACGAAATGCAAGAAAATTTCAGTCAATAATTTCTAATACTATTCCAATGAATTTGAGTAGACAAGAGGAAAATAGTTTTTATACAGCGAAATCATGTCATATTTGGAATAAACTCTTCACCGAATCTGATGTTAGGGTTCGAGATCATTGTTATTCAACTGGAAAGTATAGAGGTGCTGCACACCAGTCCCACCCATTTTAGAGATAAACATATTATACCTGTAATCCTGCATAATATGTCAGGATATGACAGTCATTTAATCATAAAAGCCCTTTGTAGTGAAATAAAAGGTAAAACTAAATTATTGAAGAAAAATATATCTCATTCACTAAACATGTTGTCTCTATAAAAATTTGTTTAAGGTTCATAGATTTATTTAGATTTATGTCTAGTGAACTAGGAAAATTAGCATCTTATTTGGATGTTAATCAAAACACTATAACAAGAAAGTATTATACTGATGATGCTAAATTTAAGTTGGTTACTAGAAAGGGTGTTTCTCCCTATGAGTATATCGACTGTTGGGATAAGTTGCGAGACATCAGTTTGCCACCAATTCAACAATTTTACAGTCACCTTACAAACTCGACAGTTGGAATATTTCAAACAAGAAATGTATTCGAGAATATGCCGAGTTATATTTAAAAACTGATGTCTTGCTTGACGTCGAAGTTCATTTCACTATGA